ATTGCCAGTGTGATGTCTTTACTCTTCAATATTTTACCGAGATTGGTCATTGCTCTCCTCCCAAGACGTAAGCGTCTCCTGATTTCCTGGCTGCAGTCTGCGTCTGCAGTAATCTTTGCACCTAGAAATACAAAGTCTGTCACTGCCTCCACGTTTTCTCCCTCTATTTTCCAGTTATCAATCATTTTTGTTGCCATAATCTTGGTTTTTTTAAATGTTTAGCTGCAACCCAGCTTTTATGCTTTCTTCTTTCACCTTGATTAGAAGGCTCCTCAGTTCTTCCTTGCTTTTGGCCATCAAAGTGGCATCATCTGCATATTTAAGGTTGTTAATGTTTCTTCCAGCAATTTTATCCCAGCCTTGCATTTGTCAAGCCCTGCACATCGCATGATGCGTTCTGCATACAAGTTGAGTAGGTTGGGTAAGAGTATACAACCCTGCCGTACATCTTTCCCAGTCTTGAACCAGTCTGTTGTTCCATGGTCAGTTCTTACTGTTGCTACTTGGTCCTTATACAGACTCCTCAGGAGAGAGACAAGGTGATTTGGTATGCCCATACCACCAAGAACTTGCCACATTACTGCTTAGGTTAATAATAAAAGCAGGTCTATGACAAATGAGTTGCTTTAGATTTCCAAGTCTCTCCCTCCCTCCTTCCCTCCCTCCTTCCCTCCCTCTCCCCTTCTAATTTAGGATAGTATTATAGAAACTGATTTGTTTGTTTTTTGATCATAGAAAATCTCTCTGACGCAGTTTGTTTCTCCCTTATTTGATGACAGCTTTCATTACCACACAGTTCTCTTGAAATATTTTATGTTCTCAAAATGGAAACGGTGTTAGATCTTGGATTTCTATTTTCCCTCCACTTCACCAAATATTAATGGCAAAGATCCAAAGAGATATTTTAGGTGCACCTAAGGACACGAGTGTTTCCAGTGATTTTTCTCCCCTTTCATTTCTCTTTGAACAAGACCATCCCTACCAAATCAGAAACTCTTTTAGACTGAAAAAGATTTTGCCACATTTCATAGGAAGCTGTTGTGTATGAGAGACAAAATGGAACTAATCCCTGGGTAGATGCAATGAACTGAGTGTGCTCATCTTTTGGATCCTAATTGAGAGAAATAAAGAGGGAGGAATACAGGAGCTCCTCATATCAAATTGCAAGCAACAGTTCATTTTAAAGCAGGATGACATTAATGATGTATCCTTATTTAGCTGAACCTCCTCCACTGGTAGTTGTTTAGTACTTTTTAGTGGTGGAAGATATACAGTCAGCAATATTTTTATTTGCAGATTTTCATTTGCTCAGGAGTCCCGCGTCCCTAACCTCAGCAAATGTGGAAGACTGACTCTAATTGTAAATACAGTGAAATATTTAATTGGCTGCTTCCTGACTTTGCCACAATTGGATTGTTGTTTGCTGTAAGAATAGAGATTTTCAAGTCTTTTATTAATTTAGGAAGGCTTTAAATATGTCTTACTAAATAATTAATATTTCTTGTTTTAATCTATGACATAGAAAGCACATTTCTTGATTCCTAGCTGTTTACAGGATTTGGTCTTAACATCTGCTTAAAGAGAAATTATCACATTGAACCCAATAAGGCTTTTGAGGAGACATAGATAGGATTGTGCAGAGAGTGTCTAATGAGTTGTCATTTTCCCCCCCTTTTTGGACAGTAACATGCCATGCACTCTTTGACTATGTACTTTCACAAGTCAATAGATCATATTATCTAATGGTTATTGAGGAGCAAGGATGGAATGTATTAGGGCTGTCAATTCTCAACTATTGAGCATAATAGTAAATTGATCATTTACTGGCATGTCCTCTGAAAAGGGTGACATTCTCCTGATTGCCATGCCTTTCTGTGCACACGAGTGCAGCATTTGCCATGTTTATCCAGAGCTGTGCATTGGGAGACGTCATCAGTAACTAATCCAGCTTATGCTGATGCATCAAACTTCATTTAATGGCTATGCAAACATGTGTCTCAAATCTGATGATAAATAACCAGTTTTGTTCTTGTTTTTGATTTGAATTCTCATGCATAGTTTTATTCTTATGTTTTTTTTTGTATATTGCTTTTGTGTCCTAGGATGACTTTTGGGTTAGAAACATCGTCAATGACAATCAAACTATGTTTTTAAAAAACTAGATGTTTTTATGTAACAGTTCTGCATCCAGGGTCATTATATATAGAAGAGGCATGTACTGTGGAAGGCAGAATAACTTTCTGGCCCCTCTCCCTCTGATTTATTTTAATAGTTGCCAGATCATTCCATTCCAGAAGAGGGTTTTCAGTTATGACACCAGGCAGACTTCTTTACTTAGTGACCTCTGTCTTGTTCTAAAATTCCCATTATCTAAACTTATCTAAGTTTGGGATGGTCCTTTGGAATTCCTAGAGCTTCTACAGGTTGATTCTCTGCTCAAGAATTTTCATTTCACTTTGACTGGGGGAACGGGAGATACCTTTAAGACGTTTGGAATTTTAAAAGCCTTCCATAGCTGGAAGGAAGTTGTAGACATGTGATACTGAGATCTTTTTCTGTTCCCAGTGCTGAACAAACTGCTCTTTCTAGCAGGAGCTCATGTGCGCTATGGTGGAAGGTTGGGGGGTAGAAGCAGGCGAGCCGCATCAGCAGCATCTCTCCAGTTGCAAACGATTTGTAGTTAAGCTCACTGATCCAGCCCCATGTGACTAGAAATGTAGGCAGCAGATTCATGCTGGACTGACATCATGCTTTTCAAATTCACTGGAAATTAAAAAGGAGGTGGGGGCAGAGCAGGGAGAAAAGGTTCTCTTGACTTTTCCTGGTACTACTAATTCCTGACTCCAGCTCATCTGCTGCTATTGAAAGAGCCAGTGGCAGCAGCAGAAGCAGCAGCTGGAAGCAGCAGCACTATTACATAGTTCAGGATACTCAATGAGGTCGAGCTGGATGATAAGCAAGCCTGCCGTAGAAGCATCCCCTGTAAGTTCTGGAGCTTCTCCCGTTTGTTCATTCCCTCCCTCCCTCTCTCCTCACTTTCCAAGTTATACCCTTTATTGTACAGAACTGAGTATAGCAACGCACGATTATAAAATAAGGTTATGCATAATTCGAATTCTTATGATTGATACAGAAGCATATGTTCAAGCATACATTGATCCCATGTGTTGTATGACTGAGGGGAAAGTGTTGGTGGTTACTCTTTCAACTATTATCTTGCTCTCAAGCTGAGGCATGATATAGATAATGTAGAGTTATCTATATAGGCAGTCCTGTGCTTCGTGATTATTCTTCCCATGGGAGGGTAAAAGCTAGAGAAAAGAGGCCATTTGATGTTTTGCGTACAAAGGATGCTTAAGGTAGTGCTGCATTTTAGAAGATAACTTGATTATAGGGTTTATGGAAATACATTTTACTCTGTATAAATTTAGTGTGCTTATATAATGACAACAAACTGTGGAGAGTGTAGCTATAATAGCTCTCTGTGTTTTTGAGCTGCTTGGAAACCCTTGAGCTTGATTAAATAGCCGCTTGTAAGGAAATATGAATCCAAATTCCTTGTGAAATAGGATAATCATAGAATATGTGCTTTCTCCCCTCTTGTTCGCCTTTCTTCCACACTCAAAGCTACTCCTTTACAGCCACTTTGAGACTACCTGAATGTCTTTGATCCATTTAACAAAATAATTGATTGCTATGGAACTTTTGCTGGGTTTTTATTACATTGAAGTATATGTGAAATACATTTGTGATGGTGATTTGTTTATACCTGTGCAGTAATATGGCCTCAAGAAATACAAGGGGTCAGATTGTCATAGTTTCAGGAGCAAGTCCAATCTGCACATCTCAAGATTAAAAAACTGACAAACCCCAAAATGAATATCCTGATGGGTTGTTGTAAGTTTTTCGGGCTGTATGGCCATGTTCCAGAAGCATTCTCTCCTGAAGTTTCACATGCATCTATGGCAGGCATCCTCAGAGTTTGTGAGGATCCCTGCCATAGATGCAGGCAAAACATAAGGAGAGAATGCTTCTGGAACATGATCATACAGCCCAAAAAACTTATAATAACTCAGTGATTTTGGCCATGAAAGCCTTCGACGATACATATCCTGATGCCTTTTATATGGTGTTTCTGACAATCATGTATGAATTCCAAAGTTACCAAAAGAAGTCCAATACATGAGATGGTTAGTAAGTTTTCATACCAGTCCATATTTATTTATTTATTTATTTACTTTGCTTATATACCGCTGTATCTCAAGCCCGAAGGCGACTCACAGCGGTTCACAAACAGTAAAAACAGTAGAAACAGCAGTGGTTCCATACAACATATAACAATTGACTTAACACATTATCCATAAATTACCAATAAGCAATTACAATGCACAATTATTACAAAAAACAACCGTACCCAATCTTCTCATCATCCAAGCGTAGTCCAGGTTTGTCGTCCATTGTTCCATTCCTTATGTTCCATTACCAGATTGCACTAAATTACTCAATTATGTCTGAAAGATGAACAGATGTGCAATGTTGCCATTATTTTTAAGATAAAAAGGTAAAAGAATGACCCAGATATATTCTTAACAAAGGAAAGTAATAATTTATTTCAGTTTATATAGCAGATATTGCTTTGTGTCAGTTTTCCCAAGATTATTTTATTGGCCAATTTCTTGAGAAAACAAACATTATCCAGTATTTGAACTATAGATATTTTTGAGTGATGGTAGTGTCATTTTAGTGATGAGAGGGTGATTAAGGGAAGTCTAGGATTTATTCTGAGGTTTCTTTATTCTCCAAGTTCTCCAAACTGTTAAAATAATGATTGTTCATAACATACTAATGATTACTGTGGTGTGTTGGCAATGAGTGAGTGTTTGGAAATAATCTTCACAGTGTTTTTAGAGAGCTCTCTAATTAAACTTAAATGAACTTATGCCATATTGTTCCTTGTTTATCCAGATGGTCATACTGATTATGTATTCATTTTTTTAAAGTGTTCAGCTTGTGAATTGGTCTTGGTTGAAGATGAGATGACAGACACTGAAGATAATGAAGAGGATGAGTTAGGAGTCAGAGATGAGCAACGGAGCATAATTATTCATCTTATCTCACAACTCAAACTTGGAATGGACCTCACAAGGGTATGTGACACCACCTCCCCTTCTCTAAAATAAACCCCACACTGTGTTTTGCTTTAAAAAATCACTTACTATTGAATCGGCTTCCTCATTTGTCTTTAGTGCCAGTCTCATCCCAAATCCTGGTGTAATGTTATTCATTGCTACTTTCCTCATTTATGTATGTAAAAAAAATCTAATTTGCTAAAAAGTTAATGTGATTTTTCCCCTCCTGCAACAATTCTCCAGGTGTAAACTTATTCATAAATTAAGCATTGCCACTGTTCCTTACAAGTGACATCCCTGGAATGAAGAATGGACCTTTGGATGTCTACAGAATATTACTGGGAAGAACCCAAGAAATATTTCCAGCTACAGTGCCTTACATAATGGTCATCATCTCCTCTTCCTCCTTAAATATAACTAGCAGTGATGATGTGCATATTTTGAATTTCAGCTTCTACAAATCGCAGCCAGCATATCACTTTGTTAGAGGAGAGCCACAGTGGTGCAATGAGTTAAACACTTGTGCCAGCTGAACTGCTGACCTGAAGGTCGGCGGTTCGAATCTGCAAGAAGGGATGAGTTCCCATCTGTCATCTCCAGCATCCCATGTGGGGTCCTTGCAGACCACCAATTCTCTCACACCAGAAGTCACTTGCAGTTTCTCAAGTTGCTTCTGACACGATAACCCCCCCCCCCAAAATCCTTGCTAGTTAGAGCATTCTAGTTTTGAGAACCGATGAAAATTCATTGAGAGCTGTAGATGGGAGTGTAAAATAAAATCCCTTTAATAAAAAAGTATAGATTTCCATTGCAAAATCAGTGGAAAACTAAGACCAAGAGAGGTTTTTTTAAAAACCATTTGAAAATTCCCTGATAAACATTCCTCCAGACCGTGAACACATTTAATAAGCAGCTGCAACCACTCCTCACAGACCTTAATGTACTGCTCTAGATCTCTAAGGATTTGGGGATGATTGCTTTCTCCTATCACACACACACACATACACACACACCTGGCTGTCACACGTAAAACACAACAGAACAAATCATTTAAACATGTAAATTGAAAAAGAGAGGTGAAATCCATAGGCAAGTCATTGCTGTATGTTTAAAATAAGTTTGTTTATTACGATGTGAGATTACATAGGATTCAAAATATTGTTTACAATTCTATTTTGGGGTCAAGCATATATTTGTTTGAGTGACAAGGCTACAGAAGAGTCAAAACATATTTCTTGCTCAGGAGGCAGATGTTAAGCACCCATATTTTGAAATAACAACAACAACAACAGTAATAATAATAATACACTTTATTTTTATTCCAGTCTGTCTCCCCGAGGGGACTCAGGGAGGATTACAGAACACATATACGACAAACTTCCAATGCTGTTATATAATTAACTAGGATAGACAATACATAAACATAGGTAAAGGCTTTCCCATCTTTTTCCATGTCCTGCATCTGGAGGCAGTGCTTGATTCTGGTCACAAGAGGTACTGTTGCTCCATCTTCCATGCCAAGGAGCTTTGTTGTCCATAATTGTCCTCCCAATCAAGTTGCCAGCATGTCCTTATCAACATCTTTTATTACCTCCCCGCTGAAAGTGGTACCTTTTTATTTACTCACACTGCTGTTTTTGATCTGTTAGGTGAGCAAAACCTAATGCTGATGGTGGGAGCTCATCGCGACCCGGGCTTGAACTATCAACCTTTCGATAGGCAAGATTTTCTGCAGTATGGCAGTTTAATTCGCTGTGCTAAGCCCAGCCCTGCAACCTTGGGTTAGCAGTGATTACAAGAGGTTTCAGATGGATGGTTAATCCATTCTGAGTTTTAGTCCAGACTTTAAAAGTACCATCCACAGTGCCGAACCCTGTTAGCCACAGCTTCTGCCAACCTAGCAGTTCGAAAACATGTAAATGTGAGTAGATCAATAGGTACCACTCCACTCCGGCAGGAAGGTAATAGCACTCCATGCAGTCAAGCTGGCCACATGACCTTGGAGGTGTCTATGGACAACTCTGGCTCTTTGGCTTAGAAATGGGGATGAGCACCAACAACTGGACTTAATGTCAGGGGCAAACCTTTACCTTTACCATAAGTCTTCCTCATGACCAGCTAGCAAATGCTAGAAGCTTGATCTAGGAGACAGTCTTCCCTTTGAGTCATTCTTGCATGAAGAAAAAAAGAGCACGAGTCAGGAATGGTCGATCTTAATTGCTGCTGTTTCCTGTATGAATTATTGTCATGAATGACTCAATATATGATAGGTTAAGGAGGGAAACTTTTCTTTCGGAATCCCATTCTTTTGTGCTTGCTTATCTTTTAAAACATACTTTCCAAAGGGCACAATACCCCAGCCAAGTAGATGCCTATATGGCTGATTATACTGTGTGGGAAACATTGTTCATGATGGTATTGTTATAATGAATAGAGAGCCGTGAGGCTAGTGTTTAGTGTGCCAGACACAGCAGGAGTACTGCAAAATAGGTCTCCTACTGGGATGTTATTTTGAGCCTGTGTCATTTTCAACACAGGAAGGTCAGAAAACGATTGATTTTGATTGGTGTAGTAAACTCATACAGCGATGTTCAGAGTGCTTTCCTGAATAATGCATGAAAGGAAAATGATTTCTAGGCCTGACCTTGTGTAGAGAGATAGAAAGGACCATTTAAAAGCATTGCTGAAATGTGTATTTTACCTGCAAATTTATTTTATTGTCAATGTTGGAATAGAATACTATTAAAATTTTATTTTCATGTTAGACAACATTATGTAAAGTGTTTCAGTTAGAGTGCTTATGGTATTGGAACAAGGCTGCTCGGCTCAAAGTTTCTCATACATTTTTTCTATTGGCTAACTAAAGTACGGTAACTGAAATATTTTCTTTTATAGCAGTGGGGGATGGGGCAATAGTTCAGATTTTTCAAGCTCTAAAGCTAAATTCCATGTTCTTTTTGTACTTGGATGAATTTGGATTCATTTGATGTCTCTGACTAACCTTTCTAGACGTATTTAGAGATGCAGTGCAATCAATCAAGGACCCCTGCATTCAGTTGGAGCAAACTGTAGAGTCCACTGCTGGAAGCCTCATACGCAGAAGCCTGTTTTGTTGTTCTGACTTTTTGATATAGCTACTTCCTTAAAGAGACCTTGGGACTTAACAGGTTTTTGATGGTGCTGAAAATGCCCCTTTCCTTTTCATTTGGTTGATAGTTCAATCATTTGCGCTCTTTTGACTTCTGGCTTTCACAGAGGATGGAGGAACTACTTGTTGTTGTTTATTCATTCAGTCACTTCTGACTCTTCATTACCTCATGGACCAGCCCACACCAGCCCCTGTCGGCCATTGCCACCCCCAGCTCCTTCAGAGTCAAACCAGTCACTTCAAGGATACCATCCATCCATCTTGCCCTTGGTTGATTTCTCTTCCTTCTCCCTTCCATTTTCCCCAGCATAATTGTCTTCTCTAAGCTTTCCTGTCTTCTCATTATATTGCCAAAGGACTTCATCTTTGCCTCTAATATCCTTCCCTCCAATGAGGAGTCAAGGTTTATTTCCTGAAGTATGGACTGGTTGGATCTTCTCGTGGTCCAGGGCACTCTCAGAATTTTCCTCCAGCACCACAGTTCAAAAGCGCCTATCTTCCTTTGCTCAGCCTTCCTTATAGTCCAGCTCTCACATCCATAGGTGACTATGGGGAATACCATTGCTTTAACTATGCGGATCTTCATTGCCAGTGTGATGTTTGTACTCTTCAATATTTTATCGAGATTGGTCATTGGTCTCCTCCCAAGAAGTAAACGTCTTCTGATTTCCTGGATGCAGTCTGCATCTGCAGTGATCTTTGCACCTAGAAATACAAAGTCTGTCACTGCCTCAACATTTTCTCCCTCTATTTGCCAGTTATTGATCAGTCCGGCACTACTAATCATAATGAATCTATACTCCCCCTGTATCAGAAATGGTATGTCTCTGTAGGTCAGATGCTAGGGAATATGATTGGTAGGGTCCCATTGCATTCATTTTCTGTTTCTGAACTTCCTAGAGGCACCTGTTTGAACACTGTGAGAAAACAATTGCCGGCATGGGCACCTTTTACCTCCCCACCACAGTGGTATTTATTGATCTACTCACATTGTTTTCAAACTGCTAGGTAGGCAGAAGCTAGGGCTGATGGTGGGAGTTCACCTTGACCTGTGGCTTTGAACTGCCAACCTTCTGCTCGGCAAGATTTTCTGCTGCTGCCGGTTTAACCTGCTGTATTACTGTGGCCCCTTATGCAACGTATCTCAATGTGCATCTGCTTACACTGCATGAAAGTGAGATCTGCTGCAACAAAGGACAACACTTTTCATAAGGAATGCTTTCTTAAAACAGTTTGTTAACATTCCTGTTTCTTTTCCCTCTCCATATCTAACTCAAGATTCCTTTTGTTATTTCATGTTAAATGGCCTGAATATGGTTTTTCCCTCAGACACTAGCCAAGGGAGAAGAACTTCTCTACTGAAACAAAAAAAAAAAAACAGTCTTCTGTTGTTGTTAGGTGTGTCCTCCATACTAACCATCATCTTGTACTTCAATTGAAATCTGTCCTGAAATGTTAAAGCTGGCTTCATACATCATAGTGTCTCTCCCAAGCTCTAAGATTTACAGTCCAAACTGCTGAATGTTTACTCAAAAATACAATCTTATGTTGAGTGGGACTTGTTTTCTAGCAAGTATGTTTGGAGTGGTAATCATTTATTTTAATTTTAGAATGAATTAAAGAGTCAGATAAGTATTTTTGCGATCGGTGTAAGTTCCCGCTGTGTCTATTGCTAAGCCTATTCTATCTTGTTTCATCATTAATGTGTGATTTTTCAAAATTATGTACATATTTTGGAAAAATATAACAATAAGTTTATTTCATCTCAAAATATACACTTCTAAATGCAATGTTGAGCCAAAATTGCACAGCAAAATTGCGAGGAGTGTGAAATTCAAAGGATAGCTACGTTCTGATTTAGCACATCAAGCGAGTTCACATAAAATGTGAAGAGACTGAATTTCTAAATCATTCTTGCCATCCTTTTTCCTAAAAAATGTCTTACCTTGCTTTCTTTTTGAGAAAGCAATTACATTTGAAAAATGAAAATGGTGTTGCTTATGTTTTTCTGACTTGTCCTTGTTTTGCTCCTAAAAGTACTGCAAAGTCTACCTTGCTGCTTCTGCTGTCAGAAAAACAGTGTTTGGCTATTACACAAGAGGGATCATCTTTATCATTTGTTGCTTGTATCTAATCTCTCTTTTATGAAACCCAGATGTTCTTGCCAGCTCTCTCAAGGCCTTTTCCTTATTACATTTGAAATTGAAACTTGGATATAGACTTGGTCATAGGGCAATTCTGAAAAAAGGTTAATTATTTTTTTCTTTAGGACTCACTAATTATGTAAGTGTATATGCTGTGCCAAAGTAGCATCTTCCACTCTTCTCTATACTGATTTTTACTGATCTCTTTATATAGTGGTCTCCAGATGTTATACTATAACTCCGATTAGCTCTAACCAGCATAGCTAGTGGTGAGGAACAACAGGGGTTCATATTTAAAAGTGGCTGGAGAGCTGTATTTGCTTGCAGTTTTGCTGTTCCTTAAGTTAATTAAAATACGGTAATTATATCCGGCCTCATATCCGGCCCCATTTTTGATATCTCTTCACTGGTTACCCATTTTGTGTAGGATTCAGTATCAGCTTCTTATTTTAATTTTCAAAGCCTTACATAATGTAGCTCCCTTTCATCCTTTCTTTTTATCAATCTGTTTGAGACCCACATTCCAAGATTTCTAGACTTTTCACCCAGCCAAAGGTGTTTCTCTTCTTTGGCTCATCCTTGTCCATTTTACTCGCTGTGACATAATAATAATAATAATAATAATAATAATTTATTTATACCCCGCCACCATCTCCCCAAGGGGACTCGTGGCGGCTTACATGAGGCCAAGCCCAACAACACATCAGGAAAAACAACAAAGCAATAAGCAAATAAAACAATACAATTAATATAACTCACATATAGACAATAACACGCAAAAAATTAAAAATATATCTCTTGGGATTGTGTCTTAGAATGTTTTCAGAGTGCTCGTTCCCTTGTTTATAAAAAAAATCTCAATTAACAAGTATTGTTTTTCTAAAGCCTTTGGAATTTCAGATTTATAATGTTTTATAATCTTGTATGGAACCCCCTGTGGCACAATGGGCTAAACCCTTTTTTCCAACAGGACTGCTGACCAAAAGGTCAGCAATATAAATCAGGGGAGCGGAGTGAGCTCCCTCTGTTAGCTCCAGCTTCCCTTGCGGGGACGTGAGGGAAACCTGTTGAAGCATGCAAGGAATCTCTGTGTGTGTGTGTGTGTCAACTGTAAAATAAGATGCATGAAGCTGATTGGTCAAGCAATGCCTAGGGAGATGGCTGAGCCTGGGACTTTTGGATACTGTTACATTTTTGTTCAGGCTTGAGCTATGAACGTAAAGGGAGAACAGAGAAAAGCAGAGAGAAACAGATTTTGGAGTGTGCTCTTGCTCCATAAGCTGCTGGAGGGAGTTTCTTCACATGGACAAAAATAGACCATTTTAAATTTCTCATAAAAGGTCATTACGTGAGTCAATGTAACTGTTCACATGATTGTATATATGTTGTTCTGAATTTACGAAAAATAGACGACTTGTTCTTCATTGTTGATCTGCATGGCATTTTCTTTATCTGGCAAGGCAGTGTGTGGGCTGACCAAAAGTGAACTACACATGGTTTATTTTACATTACACCACTAAGCCTCTCACAGGATGGTAAAACATCCGGGCATCCCCTGGGCAACGTCCTTGCAGACGGCCAATTCTCTCACACCAGAAGTAACTTGCAGTTTCTCAAGTTGCTCCCAACATGAAAAAAAACTTGTATAAATAGATTACTTGCATTGGTCATTTTGCTTCACATTATATTGTATTTCTTGCATTATATCTGGATAATTTTACAATGGTATTGCGTAGTTTTCTATTTTATAATTCTTCCCTTCCCTCTGTGTGTGCATCTGTATATGTACCTATATACTTCAGACTGTATGCCTTTGGCTGGAGTTGCTTTTTTGTTGTTGTTCCACTTGTAAAGCACCATGTACACTGATCAATAATATAAGTAAATAATGAAATAAATGATGGTGATGAATCCAAGGCACTCTCGGGTTAGCATGGAATATAATTAATGCAACATCTAACCACAGTCAGAATAATTTAAAGGCCAAAACATATTGAATAGATAGAGCACTGAAAACAGGAGAGATTGAAAGTAGTTTAACCATTTCAAATTTGAATGAGATCAAGCATGTCCCAAAATATTTAGTAAACAGCCATGTTTTTACTTGGCATCAAAATGCTGGTAGCAGTGGTATCCATCAGACCTCTAAAGCACAAATATCTGTTTACTCAGCTGTTCCCCTCTCTCACAAAGACTCCTGCAGGGTTCGGAGAAGGGGGAGGCCATATCTAATAAGTGGGGGAACTGCAAAGTGTGTACATGAACTTTATTGACTGGCAAATTACCCTGAATTTGGTCAAAATGTTGGGTTGGAGGAGAAAACCAAAGGAGAGACTAACTGAAGCAGCCCTGGAGCTGCTTGGCAATCAGAAAAGACAATGTGGTGTGTGTTTATAGGGAAAGCAAAGCAAAGGAGAGTGGCAATAGACAATGCCTCTTGGGACATTGAGGAACAGTGTAAGGAGGAAAAGCTAGGAGACTTAAGAGCAGTTGCTGAACAGCTTGGAGGCCACACAAGAATTGCACAGTTTGAGAACTTCTGATTGAGGTTGTTTGGATTGTTATACTTTTGGAAGTACCTATAGTTTCAGATATCCTTCTGTAATGCCAACAGTGCCTTGAACATAATTGAGCAATGCCTGTGACATCGGAGAAGGTAAACTTTGCATGAGAGTGCATAAGGTGAAAAGTCAGAAATGAATTCATGAATAAAGCCAGACACTTTCATACATAGTTTGGAAAGAAATAAGGACTTTACTAATACATGACCCACATGTTCTTAGACTCGGCTGAAGCACAAACAGAGAAAGATAGAAAATAGATGTGAAATTCTGTGCTTCTACAACTCTCACAATCAGTTTAAGTGCAACTATGAACATGATATCAGTGTGGTAATACTGCTGGGGCCAAGAAACGGATTTCTTTGTGCCCTATCGAGCCTGCCAGCTGCCACAGTTGGCAAAATTCTAACCGAACTCAATTAACTTTAAACCAAATGATGTGCCACTTTGGCAAACAATAAATACTGTCAGTGAACAATCAGTTCACTTAGTAGCTTAGTAGAATAGGACAATGAAAAGACCCAGGCACCCTGAATAGTAGGGGCTTTTTATTTGCAGGGCCATTGAGGACTCTGGAGAGTGGCTTGTACAATTGACTAAAGCATTGTGTGTTGCTATCATTACTAACACTTTGTATACTGAGAGGATGGTTTCTAGAAATGCTGGGGGGTGGGGGGGGTGGAATTTAATTTTAAAAAACTTAATCACTTAGTTTTCTTGATAAACGTATTTAACAATTGCATTTTCCTTTCTTTCTCCCTTCAAAAAACTTCATTCAATATAGGTAGTCCTTCCAACATTTATTTTGGAGAAGAGGTCCCTTTTGGAGATGTATGCCAACTTCTTGGCCCACCCAGACATGCTTCTGTCGGTTTCATCTGGAGCAACTCCAGAGGAGAGAATAATTTCCTTTGTGGAATATTACCTAACTTCTTTTCATGAAGGTAGAAAAGGAGCAGTTGCCAAGAAGCCCTACAATCCAATTATTGGGGAAACTTTTCATTGCTCTTGGGATGTGCCTAAAGACAAAGTGAAACCGTTTAGAACTACCAGTGCCTCTCCAGGACCTAAGGGTCCGGCTTCATCTGAATACTACAAACTGAGATTTGTGGCTGAACAAGTATCCCATCACCCACCAGTATCTTCCTTTTACTGCGAGTGCAAGGAGAAGAAGATGTGTGCAAATGTTCATGTATGGACTAAAAGCAAGTTCATGGGGATGTCAGTAGGTGTTTCTATGGTAGGTGAAGGTAAGACATGCCACATAGATAAGATATTTTGTAACATGATTGCTTATCAAACATTTTAGCAAGTCTTGAAGAGGAGAGAAAATAAAGATTCACACACCCTGCAGACCAACTATATTGTGGCAGCAATGACGTATGAGTAAGTACATCACTGCTGCCACAATATAGTTTGTCTGCAGGTTGTGTGGATCTTTATTTTTCTCCCCTTCAACTTCTAGACACTAAAACAAGAAAGTGAAAATACTCCCTGTTATATAAAGGATTATGGGAAAGCAGTCAAACAATTAAACAGGTAGTCAGAAAAAAAGAAATTGCCTCGGTTGCCTAGCAGTAATTTACAGTTTGTGAGTATATTTGCTTTCGTAAATTGATGTCGCTGTGTTAATTTTAATTTATATTTTACTAAGTACATGTTCATGGAGCCCCCAATAGTGCAGTGGGTTAAACCACTGAGCTGCTGAACTTGCTGACCAAAACATCGCCAGTTTGAATTTGGAGAGCAGCATGAACTCCCACTGTTAGCTCCAGCTTCTGCCAACATAGCAGATTGAAAACATGCAAGTGTGTGTAGATCAATAGGTACCACTCCAGCAGGAAGGTAACGGTGCTCCATGCAGTCATGCCAGCCACATGGCCTTGGAGGTGTCTATGGACAATGCCGGCTCTTTGGCTTAGAAATGGAGATGAGCATCAACCCCCAGAGTTGGACACGACGGCACTTAATGTCAGGGGAACACCTTTACCTTTACCTTTAAGTACATGTTCAGCATGCACTTGAAATAGTATATAGTTAACTAATGAAAACATAAGAGAAAAGCAAAAGAAGTAATAAAAACATAGATACAAAGTTTTTGCACAAATCCCTTATATTATTTAAGATAAAGATATATACAAAAGATCTCTTCTTTTAAAATGTGCAGATAATTAAGTTGGCTGGCTTTCTTTAAAAGGTTGATATACTTTGATTTTTAATACATGTATTTTGTATTATGCTGTTGAAGTACACAGTGCAACTGTCCTGCAGAACTGGATTGGGCACAAGGAGAAATGGAAAGGCATGGGTGATTGAAGATAAAGAATCCAGTTCCCTAAAACAATTTGCAGTGGTGTTCATGTTGATACATGTAACAAGTCAAACATAATTTAAATTAATGGCTAGTTAAAGGTCTGGATTCTAAGTAAAAAACTGATAATTAACGTATATTGTACATTTCTTCTAAAAATTGCACCCATGACAACTAAGAGTAAATATTCAAATAAAAGCAGGAAAACTTTAAAGCTGATTTTTTAGAAGAAATAACAGCACCCACCCACTGAAAGCCCCTCGTTCAATAGCTGATCAGTTGCCAAAAGCTGCCTGCCTAAAATGATCTTTGTCTGCTGGTTGAAGGAAAGCAAGGAGAGGACCAGCTTAGCCTCTATCAGATGGTGGTTCCAGAGGCTGGGGACAATCACTGAGAGGACCTTCCTTATAAAAAATGCCTTTCATGACGTCAAGATTAGGAAAGGGGTCTCCCATAAGGATATTAAAACTGTGACAAGACTGTGTCCCAAGGACACGGTCTTGTCACAGTTTGGTTTATGAGGTCACCTAGCCACAGAACATAGATCTAGAACCAGGCATAACATTTAGTCACATTGTCCTTCCAGCAGGAATGATGAACATGTGTCCTGAATATTGACCTCATAATCTCTTACAATTGGCAAACCTGTTTAGCACTGATAGGAGTTATAGTCCAACAAGGTGCAAAGAGCCACATGTTCTTGGCCTCTGCTGTAGGTTTCTCTTTGAATTGTTGTTGTGTGGTTCTAGCACTGTTTGAGATGTGAATTCTTTTGCTTGTCAGTTTGTAGGTATGGGTTGATATGCAATTGATTTTTGTCCTTGATGTTACAAAAGGCAAAAAACTATTAATGGTTTTAGTGCAGGCATTCTGTTGGATTGCCCTGGAAACAGAAAATTCAGCAGATGTTGCTTGTCACCTGGAATGTCCTGTTCTACACAACCATTAAGGAGATGGAAACTCTGTCCCTTGCTTTATGTGACAAACTGAAAGATTCCCCTCTAATTGGAGAGGGCTTTTGCTATGGAAACTGTGTTGCTTCCAGTTTGAAGGCATCACTGTTTTCGTTTCTGGAGCGTGTTCAAAGGAAATCTTAGTTCTGAAGCAAGGGAAACATAACACATTGCTCTTATCCTCCTTTGGCAGGGTAACAACATAGGCAATTGGACTGTCATGACTTTCATAGAATCATAGAGTTGGAAGGGACCACATAGGGTATCTACTCTAACCCCCTGCGATACAGGAAAGAAAGGGGGTTGGACTGGATGGCCCATGGGGTCTCTTCCAACTCTATGTTTCTGTGATTCTATGAAACTTCAGAACAGTTTCATTATACAATTTGAAATCACTTATTCCTTGCTTTTTGTGAGCTGCCTTGGATTTCACTGTGGGAAAAAGGCAGCATGTGAATGAAATAAAAGAAAATTAATGTTCCACTGAAACCAGAATATTAGATGAAACAACAGTAGATAAGAACTGGAAAAAAGGTGAGAAATGCCTTCAAGAAAAGCGTATTTTGGAGTCAACATTGCACAAGGAGGAGTCAGAGGGGTCACCAGAGACCATCAGAAAACACAATATTTTCTGTTGATCATGGAGGTTCTGTGTGGGAAGATTGGCCCAATTCTATCATTGGTAGGGTTCAGAATGCTCTTTGACTGAAGGTGAACTATAAATCCCAGCAACTACAACTCCCAAATGTGAAGGTCTATTTTTCCCAATCTCCACCAATGTTCACATTTGGGCATATTGCGTATTAGTTCCAAGTTTGGTCCACATTTATCATTGTTTGCATCCAGAGTCCTCTCTGGATGTAGGTGAACTACAACTCCAAAACTCAAGGTTAATGCCCACTAAACCCTTCCAGCATTTTCTGTTGATCATGGGAGGTCTGTGTGCCAAGTTTGGTTCAATTCCATCATTAGTGGAATTCAAAATGGTCTTTTGATTGTAGGTGAACTATAAATCTCGTCAACTACAACTCCCAAACGACAAAATCTATCCCCCCGAGCCCACCAGTATTCAGATTTGGAAGTATTGGGTATTTGTGCCAAATTAGGTCCAGTGAATGAAAATACATCCTGCTGCCTGCATACCAGATATTTACATGACAATTCCTAACAGTAGCAAAATGACAGTTATGAATTAGCAACGAAAATAATGTTATGGTTGGGGGTCACCACAACATGAGGAACTGGATTAAGGGGTCACAGTATTAGGAAGGTTGAGAAACACTGCTCTATATTCTTTACACATTAAAAAGCTGTAGCTCCATGCATTTCAAAGAATCACAGGGAAAGGATCTTAAATTGGTGGGATCTTTGGGAATCTGGGTTGGGTGGAATCATGTGACATGAGGGGGAGGGTTGGATAAGCTTTTGTTTCATTTTTAAAATCACCTCTCCCCACACATACTTTTTGGCCCAAAGGAAGTGCCCACTTTCAAGCAGCAAGTTTCCCTGTATGGGAAGCTGGTTCTAGAGTCAGTTTGCTATCACTGCTTTCTTTGCCCTCATTTGAACCGAGAAGTGCTCAGATGGAAGAAAAGTGCTTCACTGGGCCAATTTCCAAGAGGAAGCTGGGTTTGGAGCATGTATGCCGCAGGGGATGAATGGTGTGCTCTTAAGCCACACCATTTGACGTTGTTTTAGCAGCATGCAAAGAAATGCCCCAGAATATAAAATATTTCTGGTAAGAGCAGGAATACATCTGTTTACACCTTAAAACATTCTTCTATTGGTTGGTATAATCTGGAGTGCACACCTTCAAAGAAGAGTAATCATAGTTGTGATTCATTGCTCCAGTGGCTGAGGGTTTACATGTGTAGACTTAATTTTGTGACTATTGTTCCCTGGTAGCAGAAGGGAAATATGCACACCCAGCTCTTCGTGTTACTTAGTATAAAAGCTACTTACACATTTCTCAGCTCTTCCTAAGATTTGTATCTTATATCTCATTCTCTTCCTGTTTTGTTACCTACCACATCCTTAGTTCCGTTTTAAGTCAATGCTGTATCTTTAATTTCAATAATGTTAATTTCAATAATGGATTCAAAATGTTATGTTTTAGATCTCCAGTAGTCTTTATGATATGTTCTGTGAGGAGATGTTCATGTAAATGAGAAGGGCAAACTGAATGCTTTCTAGAGTTGCTAATAACTGTGGACAAACATGTGAGAACAGAACTCTGTCACAAGATTGGGTGTGTCGATGTGGGTTCCGCTTTTAGTTATTTTTATTCTGTAAATCAATGTAGCCATTGTTTGTTGCAGTAACGTGATTGAATCCTGGCCTAATGGGCACCTTGTGATTCAAACATTAAAGATGGGTGTGCATCTCCTTTTTCAGAAACCACTAAAATTTATTTATTTAAATCATTTATATTCCACCCTTCTCATCCCGAAGGAGACTCAGGGCGGAGCACAGCATATATACGGCAAACATTCAATGCTGGGACAAGAATTCATTTTATGCATACATAAACATTAAAAACATTTATCTCAATATTAAAATACATTGCTGAAAACCATTGGAATATTTATTTATTTATTTATTTATTTATTTATTTATGATATTTCTAACCTGCCTTTCTCAAGCCCGAGGGCGACTCAAGGCGGCTTACAAATTGGCAGCAATTTGATGCCATAAAAATCCACAATATAGAGTTAAAACATTTAAAACAGCATTATAAAATCAATATAAAATCAAATATAATACAAAACCATTAAAAACATATAATAACCAATGTCTTCTTGTTAATCTCACTTTCCAGTAGCATCGTCTAAGCCGTTCCATGTTTCAAACTTACATAATTCCGTGTTTGTCTATTGCACTGCATTTCCAAAGGCTTATTCAAAGAGCCAGGTTTTTACTTTTTTTTTTTGAAAGGTCAGGAGGGAAGGGGCTCATCTAATATCCCTAGGGAGGGAGTTCCACAGCTATATTCCAGTGGTGCTGTATCCTCTACAGAATCAAAGGAGGGTGGTCACCCGGATTCTTGTCTTTTAGATCAACTATAACTATATTGATATAGCATGGTATCTGGTTCTTTCAGCAGTGTGATCTGCAGAGTGTGCTGCTCAGAGTATGGGCTCAAAGGGGGAAGGAAACAGTGGAGTTGGATCTAAATTTGATTATACTCCAAACAGACTCATTGAAATAAACAAGAATCTAATTACACATTATGGAAAAAGTTACATCTATGTTGATCATGTTTTAGCATGATCAGACCAAGATCCAACCCAGGATTTAGTAGTGCAGTCTGTATAATGTAACAGTGGAGATTATGTGGCTTTTAGGTGTTGAACTACAGCTTTTCATGAATTATGCTGGCCATGGCTGCTTCAGCCTGTAGTTCAGTATGTGTAAGACCACATGATTCCATATAACAACATGCATTGGTGGGACTTGCTTTCTTTCATATCAGTAGCAACAAACATTTCAGACAGGTAGAAAAGAAATGGGAACCATCATAAACTTGTATTTTATTCATTGTCAGAATCACAGGGTTCAATTAGTACAGAATAATGTCAAAGGCAGCAATTTTTAATAAGTCGAATTCATACTGTTATCTCTGTGTCACTCTAAAGTAGTTCTGCGTAACTCATATTGTTAGCGCTATGTAACTCTTGAGGAATAGTATTTTATTTGAGGACTACTAAATATTAGGTGAAGGAAGAAATGTTATGTGCATTGACAGTTACTTGCAATGGCATGAACCTAGATTTTTAGGTATTGCTTTTGCAAACTAGGTGACCTTTTAAAAAACCAAATATCAACAGGAGAGGGTCTTAGAAGTTATATAGTTTCTAGCCACCAGTCCTATCCTCTTTTAAGAGGAATGTAGTGTAACTTTCTTGGATCTTGTGACGGTTCATTACAACAAGGCTTCTCAAACTTTTTTGACGCATGACCCCTTTTGGGTCCAATAATTTTTTTACATTACTTGAGGTATATGGTTGTATAAAATAAAATAGGTATAAAAATTAAACATTTACTGAAAACAAATTAGCATCTACAAGGCTTCCCCACCCCTTTTTTCTAGTTGAAGTATTGTAAACACTGCATGTTGTTGCCAATGGATTTGTGTAAATGGGTGGTGTACAGAAACCTTTTAATGTTGCCAAATTTTTGTGATCCCAGCACTGAGCTAAAACTCATTTTGGGGTCAAGACCTACAGTTTAAGAAACAGTGCTTTTGGCTGCAATTTGGATGCTAAGAAGCTGTTGGGATCAATTGAACTAATGAAGGAGGCATGGGCAAATTTTGGCCCTCCAGGTGTTTTGGACTTCAACTCCCATAATTCCTTACAGCTGGTAAGCTGTTTGGGAATTATGGGAGTTGATATCCAAAACACCTGGAGGGCCAAAGGTTGCCCATGCCTGGTTTAAAGGCAAGTATCCCAAACTACAAAAATTTGGCAAAAGGATACATGAAAAAGTGCATTTTGGTAAAGTTCAGTCGATTTACATTACAATTCTTCCAGTTTTTGCATCCCTTATGAAAGAAAACCGAATGCATACAATTTACCCCAAGGGTTAAAAAAATTCACAAAAAATATTATAAAAGTGACCTTCCTTCTAGAAAGCATATTAGCAAATTTTCTGTGCTAAAAGGGCTTCTCTGTTTCCACTCCACCATCTTCTTCAGGAGTTCTTCATGTCATGGAGCATGGGGAGGAGTATGTGTTCACGCTGCCTTGTGCCTATGCGCGCTCTATACTTACTATTCCATGGGTGGAGCTTGGAGGGAAAGTCAACATTCATTGTGCCAAGACTGGCTACTCAGCTATTGTCACGTTCCACACCAAACCTTTCTATGGGGGAAAAGTGCACAGGTACCATTTTACTATTTACTGTATATACACGAGATAAGTATTTTTGTATAGCTCTAATAAACTACAAGGAAGAATATTAACTTGCTGTTTGCATTGTTATATTTGTTTTTGAGCTAATATTATGCAGTCTAAATATGTTTTGAAAGCATTGTGCTGATGAACTACATAGTGCTTGCAAGATGCACTTCCAGAGCTGACTATCTTGGGTAATCTGTTATTTGTGGTATTGGCACTGAGTATAGCATTGAGTGTGCATGAAAATTCGCTGCTTGTATTCTGCTTTTAAGAAAACGTTGGGCTTCTGCAAACACTGGCAAAACTTGCACAGCTTTGGACAGACTACGTGGAATATGCTCCACTCCAGAAATATATATCCAATTTAATAATAATAAATAATAATTACAATAGCAAATACATTCTTGCAGGAAAAAATGTGTTCGGTTTCCTTTCCTTTTTGAGTTACATTGTGGTGAAAATGTCTACTATGCCTGGATCTTAGTCCTTGTCCAATAACCTATGTATTAATCTCTCTTTTTATCCCTTCGACTAGGGTTACAGCAGAGGTGAAGCATAACTCAACCAACACCATTGTGTGTAAGGCACAAGGAGAATGGAATGGCATACTAGAATTTACCTACAGCAATGGGGAAACCAAAATAATTGATACTACCAAGCTACCCATAATTCACAAGAAGATCAGACCAACAGCAAAACAAGGACCATTTGAGTCGAGGTGAGACTCTTCATGAAATGAGCATCTTCAGATGCATGTAACTGGAGTAACAGCTGATAAAGAGGGTATTTGGTCACAAATGACTGTTTTAAGAGTCTAGGTCAGGTGTATGGATAGCAGTCTTGTGCATTTGTTATCCATTTCTGTTTGTTTCATTTGTAAGGCCCTGTTTTCATTTTCAAGTGCCTCTCCCAAAAACGGGCACCTTTCCAAATGAGCTTTTTTGTTCTGGGTCCGAAAGAACAATTTTTATTGGACCATTGGCCAACATGGATGGCATTCCCAGGCTCCACTTCCCCTCAGTTTTAAGGATAGAGGAGTAAGAGCTTTCCGTAAGAGCCTAAAGACCTGGCTATTTGAGAAGGCATTTAACTGAGTGCTACAGTAACTGGTAATGACAATCGGAACGGAAAATGGATTATGAGATTGGTTATGATTCTGATGTGACGGAGCGGATTAGTTAGTGTAATTTAGATTAATGTGTATTTGATATGTTGGTTTTTTGTGGTGCTTTATTGTAACTGTTTTTTAATATGTTGTACACCGCCGCGAGTCGCCCTAGGGCTGAGAGCGGCGGTCAACAAATGCAGCAAATAAATAAATAAATAATAAAATCACCACATATGGAGGCCGCATCTACCACTCTTAGCAAACCAAGTTTTATAATGTTTGTGTCATTCCCCAATTTTTAGGGATTTTTTTTCTTTCTATAAATAAAATCTCCTTAAAAACATCCCTCCCCGAGCTAACCACACCCTCTAACTTTTCTAGGAGTAGCGGGAGGAGGGAGGCAAGGCAGGGAGGGCACCATTTCTTCCTTCCAAATAATGTTCCACACATACACCACACACACAGTCCAGTGCCAAGCCCCACTCACTTCTTCTTGGCAACAATTGAGGGGGCGGGGCGGGAATGTCCCCTCTCCTTCCCATCTTTTTTGGCAATGGCATGATTTGTTTTGGAGAGTTGCCACCTTGGGTTGTTGCTTGCTGCTGCTGCACTGGCTGACCTCCTCCATCTCCTCTGTTTTCTCATGCAAGGAAGGCGCCTCCATTCCCTCTCCTCTTCCTCCTTTGCACCTCTTACCCTCTCCTCCTCGGCTCATGGAGCTGCCGCCAGCACCTTGGATCATTGCTGCTGCTGCCTGGTGTGAAGGAGGAAGTGGAGGGGGCTGGAGGCGCCTTCCTTGCATGAGAGACAGGGGCAGCAACCGCAAGTAGCCACCCAAGGTGGCACCAGGGTAGCTCCAAGAGCCGAGGAGGAGGGAGGAGGAGCCACAAATGCACTCTCCAAGGCCTTTTCAGGAGGCTTCCCACTTGCAGATGAGGAAGAGTGATGACTTCCTGGAAGAGGAGAGTAAATGAGGGTTTACTTTTACTTTTTGTTTGGTGGGGGACTAATAAAAATTGTGCTCACGAAAAACAGGTACACGAACTGTTACCGTTCAAACCTTTCGCAGTTGTTTTCGTACCGGGGGGGGGGGTATTGTATTATGCCATCTGAATGAAAGAAATGGTACAAAAACACAGATTAAATGGCAGAAACGGTTACTGCACACATGACGAATGGATAGTGCACCCCATGGGAACTGTAATTCAGAAAAAAGTTATGAAGTGGGCAAGGTATTCGTGACTAAAATTTTCCCATTGGCTTCTGCTAAAATAAAACTTGAATGACATGGGTTTTGATAGCTTGGTTTACTTATGAATTTAATGTCATTGTAAGAACAGTCAAGTCTCTTCAGGCTTAGCACCGTGGCAAGAGTTGAAGGCCAGGCACACTTGCCCCATATTCTGTGACTATTCCCCATGTCAACCTTGCTCCCAATCTTGCCACACTGATTGGGAAAGTGTGGAGCATATATGTATTTACATACAAATAGCACCTGTTTTTGAGTAGTAACCTTGCTTTTGAAAATTATAGACTTTTCAACTAATAACTTCAGCTAAAATAGTATCAGATAGCTAAACAGGAAAGGAATAAATGGGCAAGTAGACACATTTGATAAAAGGAAGACAGTTTATTTAGTTGTGGAACAACAAACGAAAATTTGGTGCAACTGTTTCCTCTATACTGTTCCTGTCACATCTGTTCCTATATTTGTGTACTAGTAACATTAAATTTTGATCACGATACATTCCTTAAAGTCTTATTGTTAGGTAGGAAGTTTCACAATATTTAAAGATTAAAATCTGGACTACTAAGCATAGGGCAGTAACTCAGAAATCCATCACTCCAAGCTTTCACTGTTTTTTAATTTGTTTGCTGAAGTTTATTCCATTTTTAAAAAGCTTTGGCTAAAGCAAAGTAGTACWATCCACTTCTTTTGTTCTCAAGGAACTTGTAAATCTTTCTCCACATAATTGTATCATTTGATTTGCTACACAGGCATCTCTGGCAAAAAGTCACCAATGCCTTGAAGGAAGGCAACATTAATTTAGCTACAGACCATAAGCGTTTCCTTGAGGAGAGACAGCGAGTAGAGGAGAGGCAGCGAGCCGCAAGCAATACACCCTGGAAGCCAAAATATTTTATCAAAGAGGTAAGGAGAATGGTAGTAGCAGGCTTGGATTTCCATTTCTCAGGGCAAACCACAACACTTAAAATATCTTTAGGATAATTCTAATGTTGGTTTTAATTTTTTCCTTAGATTTCTAGTCCTATTATTAAAATGGTACAATATTAATACAATATATGTATATTTTATTATGAATGAAATGCAGTATTTAGCCACACCTGAACTACTGCATGTATTGAAAGCTGCTTTCCAGTGARATTGTGTTAGGATAAATATTTATTAAAGAGGGGTRGKGTGAGATGGGTCATAGTTGCCAGGATGTTTTTTTTTTAATCATGTCAGAAGCAACTTGAGAAACTGCAAGTCGCTTCTGGTGTGAGAGAATTGGCCGTCTTCAGAGACGCTGCCCAGCGGATGCCTGGATGTGTTACCATCCTGTGGGAGGTTTCTCTCATGCCCCTGCATGGGAAGCTGGAGCTGACAGATGATAGCTCACCCCATCTCGTGGATTYGAACTGCCAACTTCAGGTCAGCAGTTCAGTCAGCACAAGGGTTTAATCCATTGCGCCACTGTGGCTCCCATGATAAATTGTGTTTTAATGTTTTTTATAGGAAGACTTATGGGGTTCTGTAAACTACAAAGTTGTAGTAATAAACATGAAGGTGAATTGCATGTTTCTCTTTATTCCTGATGCCTTCTGCATTGAATACTTTTATCTAGCAGATTAAACTACTGTTTAGATCAGGTGTGGGCAATTTTAGCCCTCTAGGTCTTTTGGACTTCAACTCCCATAATTCCTGTCAGCCAGTAGGCAGTTATGAATTGTGGGAGTTGAAGTCCAAAACACTTGGATGGCCAAAGTTTGCCCATTCCTGGTTTAGATAGAAATAGGGTAAAATGTTACGCTAAAATGAAAAGGTGTATTTCACATACTGTTCAGGTGAATTGCCTTTGCATTCAGACAGAATGTTTAGAACATGGGAGGAATCATATACCCTGTGTGCCACATGTATTCTTGGCATGCATTTTTATACTCCCAAGGCTGCAGGAAAAGAAACATGTTTTCCTTGCTTTTTTTTTCAACAACTTTGGAGGTCATGGTTCTCACTTCTAAAAGCCACTCACACCTTATAGCAGAACTCGGCATTTTGAAATTAGACATTTAAACAAATCCAAATGGAAATGATATTTCCATGATTTCTTTCTTTTTGGGGGGGGGGGGTGGCTCGCATAAGTCCCTTGTCCCCTAAGAACTTGCCTGCCCCTGATTTCGAGTAAAGTGAGAAATTGAGCAGTGTCGTGCAATTAGACGGTGAGCAGAATATGAGTGAAGAAAATAGCCACTGTGAGTCCCTACGTCAGAAGGCAGGATAAAAATAAAATAAAATGAGTCGGATCAACTTACTCATATTTTTTAAAACCTGCATTTTGAAAAAAATGATTAGTACCTTAGCTTCCATTGTGCCACTCCTTTCTAAGTCTGAATACAAACCCCACTGTTCCTTTTAGAGCCATTTCAGCAAGAAAATGTATGCTACTAGTGAGATTCTACAAAGCAGCCTGTTGCACTTAGTAGTAATAGCAAGCTGGTATGGGAACTATAAATTCAAACAGCAGAGCTTCTTCTTAAGAAGTTCCCTGTGGCAGGTCCCTGCTTTGCAATGGCATGCTGCTTTTTAGATTGAGCAATGTGTGAATGTTAAAGGAGATATTTTTTGTGTCTGCGTGGAACGACTGCTACTTTGTCATTTTCTAGATTATGAGAATCATGCATGTTATACTTTTGATGAATACTTAATAAAGTGAGACGTGTTATTTCTGTTTTTTTTTTAAACAGGGTGATGGGTGGATATACTTTGATCCCCTCTGGAAGACTCGTTGATAAAAGTCACCTGGACTCATAAGAAGCCTGTTTTCTAAAGGCATTAAAAAGATGCACTATTTAAATTTCAGGTGTGATTCAATGTTGCTGTAAATTAAAGCTGCTTATTCCAAATAATGCAGCCTCAAACAGCCGAAATATCCTGTTTCTAGAATATATTTTATGTGCACATATTAGATATGCACACCCTAATGCGTATTGGTATAATGAAGTCTGACACACACACACAGAGACAATAATGAAGGAGCCAATCTTTTGCACTCAAGTCAATGTGTACCACATGGCTTGCGAGATCAGGCTCCACACTAGTAATGATCACTTTTATATTATTGTTGTTGAAGTTTTCTATTTTTCACATTGCCAAAAATGTTTTGCACTTAGAATCACTTGACACTGACAGCCATCTTACAGTCAAACTTGTGATTAAAATGACTTGCTTTATGTGACAGAAGAACTATTCTTTTCTCTGACTCTTTCTCTCTCTGAAGCATGTTTGTCTGCATAATGCATTCAAACATTCATTTCCTTGTAGGAAGACAGGGATGTCCAAGCAATCTTGTCACCTATTCATTACTTTTACCTTCATAACTGTATGATTTGTGTGGTCTATTTTGCCCCATGGAAATTTGCCTCTCTTGAGGAGTTACTTTCCAGAGACTTCTGGAATTCCATGCTTTCCAAGCCATGAATTGTTCTTTCGGAGTCTAAGCAATTCTGTCCTCCTAATATACCATTCCATTGGCTTCACTAGCTCCTTTGATAGTGGCCTGTAAATAAAGAACTTATCTCTTGCTTCTTAATGATTGGTCCTACAGCAGACAATATATTTAATTGCCAAGAACTAGCCTCTTGGCATCAGTAAGGGCTTTAGAAACTTATGGGAGAAGAATTCCACATAGTTATTGTAGTGTGAAAAAAATGCCCTGAAAGTATTGAGTCTGACAGTAAGGGCAGAGAACCTTTTTACCTACTATGTAATAGCATTTTATAGTCAATTTGTGAGCCCTCATTTCATTTTCAAAACAATGCTTTTAACTGGAAAGTAAATCCAGCCCCGCGTTTCTTAGCAGGCAAATAATGATATGTAACATTTTTGCTGCTGGACTTGGCGGACAAATGTTGTTCAGCAACCACTTATATTCACCGCTTTCCTATCTTAATAGATACATGATGAAGCCTAGATGCTTCAAGACGTTGAAATTCAGGCCCCATCTACAGTGCCATATAATGCACTTTCATAATGCAGTTTAACTGTATTGGACCGCATTATCTGGCAGTGTAGACTCATATAATGCAGTTAAATCGCATTATGAAACTGCACTATATTGTAGTATAGATGTGGCCTCCTATGTAGTGTGAATGCTGAGTGGTTCAAGAGTTGACATTAGTTAAATAGTTTATTTAAACTGTTGAACTATTCCTTGAGAAGAGTGTGATGTATGAGGAACTCTGCTAGGAAAGGGACTACAAAATCATTTCAGAATTGGAAAATAGTGTGCAAATCTACCATGGAAATGACACTTTTTGAAATTAAGGTGACTAAATCCATAGTTAGGCTGAAGCTGTAGTTTCTGTTGATGCTGCTTAATGCCATAATAAGTTTTTGTCCATGTAGAATGTTTTCTGCTTAGTCCTTAAAACTTATTTCTACAGTGCCCCTTAAACATTGTTATAAATGCTCCATTGTTTTTGTGCCTTGTCTTCTTGAACTCACTTTACATTCTGTAAATAATGTTAACTTTTTAGTATTTTTTCAGAAGAAATCTAAGATGATAGTCCAGACGATACACGTGCATTTCAAGGAAGGAATGTATTACAAGGTTAAGAGCATCGGTACACACCAGAATACCTAGTAATCAAACCCAGCTTTTGACTCATTTATTGCATCTTTGTCTCAGCAACTGAAAGCCACTGTGTTTATAAAAGTAATTTTTCCTAAATATATTCAAACTCCAGTGTAAATGAAATAACAGAGCAGACCCCCAAGGTATACAAAACTTTTTAAAAGGAAAGTTTCATAGACAAGCCTCCTGTTTTATGAATGGATGAATTTTATGAATGGATGAATAGTACCGAAATCTGGCTAGCATTGTTTGCATAAATTTCTATTTCAAAGTTAATCCAGTACTCAATGAATCCTGTCAACATACAGTCGTTTGAATGAGAAAGTGTCATTTCTCAGCACTATATTTTGTTCATTCACCAAAGAACTAGTTACATTCTTTCACAATTTTTCTATGTCCAGGTTTTATTTCCCTTTGTTGATTTGATAATGTTTATCAGGACTACAGGATGTAGCTACATTCAAAACACACAACTGTGAAGTAATCAATCTTTTTGATAATATCACTTCACACTGCATGATTAAAAATAACACACCAGTCATATTCTGGTAAACATCTTGCTTTCTAAACGTTTTTGTTGTTTACCATTAATGAAATTATTTTGGAGTTTATTTCCTAAGGCTCAGGCACATATTGGAATAGTACTAACCCACAAGATTCCAAAAAATAAGCCAGAAGACCCTTTCCATCCCACTGAAACACAGCTTCTTACATTTCAGTTATGATATGAATTCTGGGAAATGATGAAAATGTAATATGCCTTATTTATAGGTCATTTCTTGTTTGTCTTGCCCCTGCAATTATTTCCTTTAAGTGTAGATGCCATACACTTTGAATTATAATGTACATTTTGATATAATTCCAGTTAACCTCTGTGCACTGCTGTAGGACCTATGCAATCTTTTTCTTAAATAGAACTGTTCATAAACAAATTTATACTTATTTGTTAAGTTCCAATTTTCTGGCGGTCACTTCTGATTAGCCTTCCTTTCATAATTTGTGAATTAAAATCACAATATGAAAACACTCAATAAATCTTATTTGCATTTATTGGTTGCTAAATGGCCTGTCTGTCTAACTCTTTACTGATCCATTGCTCATAACTATATAGTACTGTTTCCAAAGTTCGGATTGCTAAAATGTGGCATAGCATTGTAACTTTTTCAACCTATTTTGGTAAACCAGGTCTTCGTAAGACTTGGGAAGGTGCTTGTTTATAATGAAAAGGTAGGTTGTACAATGTTCTTTTCTCAGATCAAGCACTGGTCTTAATCTACAATCCCTAGTACTGTTCCTCACACACTACAACCCTCCAGATATACAAGACAGAAGTAAAAGGGGGGTCAAATATATAGGCCTAAGACAGAAAACACAGAAAAATACTGAAGTACAAACTGAGCACTGTGTTTTTACAAGGCAGGATCATGTTCTTTGGTTACTACCTGATCCCTGCATTTCTGTCAGTTCATTATTAAGCACTGTTCATCTAATCACTAACCAACACTGACAATGCATAATACCATTTCTTTTAAAAATCCTGACAGTAGGCACGGATCACTCCTCCTGCCATCACAAAATGAATCTTCATGGTAAGTATATCCTCTCATTCTTAAGATGGCACAGAGGAGAAGTCCACTACCATTGGGACTTACCTAAGACCATAAAAATGGAGGGATTTAACACTGTCATACTATAACATGGATTGCAGCACCATTCTGCTGAATGCAGCCTGTGTCAATCTAAACTTACACATCTTATAATGTCTGATAAATGTACAACTTCTTTCCATCCAACCACCTCACAAATACCTTGCAGCGAAGACGACACTGGAGATGAAGTTGTAATTGACATGGATCTTGTTGAATGTGCCCATGTTACTAAGTCTCAGTCTTTTCTCAAAATCATAACATGCAAAATACATGTCTTTATCCACATTGCGATAACATTTCTTGGAGCTTTCTGGGCTAATGACTTAGCACTATATGAGGCAAGTGATTTGTTCATTTCAAATCAATCCTCACTGCTCTTCACATCCAATATGTACCACTTCATCTCCCATTATTGATTTGGAGTTGGACAAAAATGAGGTAAGTCAATAGATTCATCCGATAATTTAAAAGTTAAGTACTTTGGAAGAAATGTCTGACTTGACTTTAAAATTAGTCTATCTTCCTTAAACATGCAGAGATTTGGCTGCATCAATAAAGTCTTCAACTCTGATACTCATCTTGCCAATGTAATTTCTGCAAGAAAACAACCCACTAAATGATAAAATTCTTAAAGATGCTTCTTTTAAAGGTGCATGTGGAGTCATGATTACTCTTCAAACCGAAGTTCAAGTTCCATGATAGAAATCTGTGGACAGCTGAAAAATATTATATTGCTCCTTTCAAAAAATCCCTTTCCATTGAAATAGATCTCTCAAGAAATAGTTGATAAAGCAGAGATCTTCCTCTTCAGTGTATTCTGATATAGATCTTTATGCAAACACTCCTGTAAAAACTGCAATATGTTTTATGTCCATGTACTGAGTGGATACACCACTCAAAGTCTATCAGCTTTTGTTAGGGCTTCTGGGCAGAACCTCCCCTCAAAGGCCATAGTAGCATCCACTACCTCCTCGTAGTCCCTATCTTCTAACACTCTCCTTTCAATGTTCATGCACTTAAGTTCATTCAAGCAGGACGGACGATAAACCACTTTCTGAATATGGAAGTCCATACTGGTATTGGAGGTGCTACTGACAATTACAATAGGAGTGGAAACTAAGATTGTCTCAGTCAATAAAGTGTTACTAATATCATGTATTTGTTCTTGCATTTTTAATAGGACACTGGTTTAATATGCACAAGAGGGAATGCATACCATCGCTGATAGTACAGTGAAGCTGTATGCCTTTAGATTTCCATGTATTGAAAAAAAATATTTTTAATTTCAAATTCTTTTTTGCCAGAGATCCAAAAGAAAGGGTTGTAACATTCCATTTTGACTTTTTCAAGCATTTCATTGTTCAGTGCCTATTCTCCTGGAGTCTTTCTGCTTAAACTGGACATACATTCCTTTTCCTTTTCAAACTGCTTTTAACAATTTGAGGTTTTTCTTTGCATGTTAAAATAAGTTGATTCCAAAATCAGTGGTATCAAGTGTAATCTTCCTAGATTTGACACATCAAAACAGTCATATTGTCCGTTTAAACAACCACACGTCTTCCTTGAAGCACA